CCCCCCCCCCCTCTCGCCTACCCAGTTGCTGCCCTGTGTGGTCATTGTTGACCAGCGTCACACCCCTCCACTCGACCCCGTGTCATCGCCGCCACCAGCACTTCCATCGTCACCGTCACTGTCCCCGCCACGGCCACCACTGCAGCCACCGGTGCTGCCGCTGCTGCCGCCACCGCCGCCGCCGCCGCCGCCGCCGCCGCCGCCACGCTCCATACTCGGCACCCGGACATCTCACGCGTGCCGCCACCGCCCGAAGCTCTTTGTTCGTCCCTCGAGCCCGGTGACCATCGTCTCCGGCTCCCAGCCTTTCGCCTGTCCCCTGGCTCCCGCTGCTCCTCTCCCCCTGTCGGCGCCGCACAGGTCATGGCGACCACGTCCAGTATTTCGGCCGCCAGTGGCTACGCCACCTACGGCAACGCCGACCTGCCGGACTTGTCCTCGTACACGGTGGCGGCGGCAGCCGCAGCGGCAGCCGCCGCCGCGGCCGGGCCGGTGCCCGTGTCTTTCAAGGTTGCGCCCGGTGCCGGCCCCGGCACCGGTGCCCCGCCGGTCGGGTATCTGACGGCCGCCGGGCTGGCGGCCGTGGCCGCCACCGGCCTCGCCACGCGCGACCCCCAACACGCCCACCCCTCCCAGCAATACCCCCACCCATCGCAGCAGTACCCTCATCTGTCACAGCCGGCCCCGGCGCACCAGTCCCCTCCGCAGCAGGCGCAGCAGCAAGCGCACTACACTTCGCTGCCACAGGCCCGGTATTATTTGCACTCGGGTGCCCTTCCCCTGGGCGATCTCCAGCAGCAGCAGCAGCAACAGCAGCAGCAGCAGCAGCAGCAGCAGCAGCAGCAGCAGCAGCAGCAGCAACAGCAGCAGCAGCAGCTCCTCCAGCTCCTTAGCCACGGGGCCGCTCAAGGCCTGGCGGCCAATTCGCAGATGCCGGCCCCTCCCGCCGCCGGCCCCGACCACACCAAGCACTTTGACGCCCCGGCCGGTGGTCCTCCATCCTTTGTCGACCCGCAGGCCGTCGCCTTCACCGGCCCCACGCCGGTTCCCCAGTTCCACTTCACCTCGGCCGACGCGCCGACCGACGTCTTTCACTTCAATCAGCAGCAGCACCACCAGCACCAGTACCAGCACCAGCACCACCACCAACAACAACAACAACAACAACAACAACAACAGTACTTCCCCCATGCCGGCATGACGCAGGCACCACAGTATGCCGGCTACGGCGCCGAGCCGCTGATCGCCATGTCCTCCTCGGCCGAGCGCATCTCCTCGTCTCATACATTCCTGGCCTCCGAGCCGACTGGGCACTTCCTGGACCCCGGCTGCCAGGTGTGTCCCCCCCCCTCCCCCCCCCTTGCAGCCATCCTGCCTCGCCCCTCATATTCGTGCGCGCGCACGTATGTGTGTGCGCGTGTTCGCCGCCGACATGCAACTGACCTCCTGGCCCATGCCCGCCTCCGCCCTTCCCCCCCCCCCCCCCCCCCC